CTTTTAAGTTATTCTTTCCCTCATCTGTTTCAATGCAGCATACACAATTTATCCAGTTTTTCTCAGTCTTACCCCAACCCTGGTGTCAGTCCCATATTACAGCACTCCCACCACTCTTGTAAAGATGTTATCAGTCTCATTTTGTGGATTATGATCGTGACAGTGACGTTGTCGTTGGCAACGATGCTGACAACTAATTACAGAGCAGTGGTCGTGAGCCAAAAACCTCTGAATGTCCTTCTTACTGTCATTGATCATTTCACTGTTTTTCTATCACAAGGGACCTCAAGATTACATGTACAAACAAAATAAAACCCATTGCTTTTAAGTCAATTCTAATTTTAATGAATTAAATCACAGATTGGTTGTGAAGACTTCAGTCAGGACCTGGTATGGGATAAGATCTCCATGATCAACATTTAAGTGTCATGAAGAAGCTGAATAACTTTCTAATGTATTTTCCTGGTGGTGAATAGAGGAAAATGTTGACTTGCCCGTAGTAACTCAGTAGAGACTAAAAGTATAATTCAAACATTAGTCTACCAGACATAGCAGTGCACAGAGAATCAGAATGAGATCTTTGCTCATTGTTGTTATGTATCGAGTCACCTGTGACCCATAGCAACCCTACGTATAGCAGCTCTGAGCCCTGTCCTATCCTGAACCAGTCTTACGAATTCTGACACACCAACCCCTATTGCCCCAGTTACCATATTAATCCACCTCATCCAGGGTCTTCCTCTCCTCCACTGTCCCTCCACCCTCCCGAGCATGATGTCCTTCTCCAAGGGCTGGTCTCTCCTGGCCTCATGCCCAAACTATGTGAGATAGAGCTTCAACATCCTAGCCTCCAAGGAGAAACTTGGTTTAAACTCTCCAAGACAGACCTATTTGTTTTCTCGGCAGGCCATGGTATGTTCAAGACTCTTCTCCAGCACCAGAATTCAAAGGCATCAATTCTTCTTCTGTCATCCTTATTTATTGTCCACCTCTCTGATGCACTGCAAGTAATTATGAAGACCATGGCCTGGATTAGGTGCACCTTAGTCTCTAGACTGACATTGTTGCTTTTCAGTATTGGTACTTAATATTATATAAATAGGTAACCCTCTCTGGTCTGTTTGTACTCTTGAAAAAAACAGAAAAGGAAATAGTCAGATGACAAATCCATCAAGTTCTCAGCATTACTTGTGCGTGTGCTATCCCCAAAGGACTTTTTTGTAGTCCTCTTAGTGAAAATGTTCAGGGAATTTCATCTACATTCCCACTGGGGTCAGGAAAGGAAGAGTCCTGAACCTTATAAGAAAGGTCTTTTCCCAGCTTTCTTAGGGCTGTCTCGTGAAACATTGGCAGTATAAAGTCTTAACCATTAAGTCCATTTGTAGACAGCCAAGGCTTCTTTGATCTACATCTCATCATCAAATGGGCAAAGGCTTGTTTATCAGCATGAAGAGAACCACAACATGAATGAAAGACAGTGGCTGTTCTCCAAAACACTCCTTGGAGGCAAAGATGACTAAGCATTTTCTTACACACTTTGGACATGTTGCTAGAAGAGGCTATTTGTTGCAAAGGGACATCAAGCTTGGAAAGGTGGGGGATCAGAGAAAGAAAGGAAGATCTTTGATGAGATGGATTGACAAAGTGGCTACAATAATGGACTCAAGCATATTAGAGATGATGAAGAGGGCACAGAATATGACAGGATTCAGAGATGTTGTTCAAAGTGTCACTACGAGTCATACTCGACTTGAAGGCACCTAACAATAACATGTGGATGTTGTTGTTGTTGTTGTTATGTGTCGTCGTCGAGTTGTAGACGACTCATAGCGACCCTATGTACAACAGCCCTAAACCCTGTTCTATCCTGTGCCAATCTCATTGCCTCTGACACACCCATCCCAATTACCCCAGTCACTGAATCAATCCACCTCATAGAGGATCTTCCCCTCCTGCGCTGTCCCTCCACTCTACCCAGCATGATGTCCCTCTCTAAAGACCTGTCTCTCCTTAGAACATGTCCAAAGTATGTCAGACAAAGCCCCAGAATCCTTGCCTCCAAGGAGTAGCCTGGTATAACCCTCTCCAGGATGGATCTGTTTGTTTTCTTGGCAGCCCATGGAACATTCAATACTCTTCTCCAGCACCACAGCTCAAAGGTATCAATTCTCCTTCTATCCTCCCTAGTCATTGTTCAACTCTCTGATGCATAACAAGTGATTGCAAAGACTATGGCCTGTATCAGGTGCACCTTAGTCTCCAGAGAGACACCGTTGCTCTTGAGTACTTTAGAGAGGTCCCTAACTGCAGACTTTCCCATCGCAATATGTTTTTTTATTTCCTGGCTGCTGGTGCCAAGAGTGTTGACCGTGGAGCCGAGCAAACTGAAGCTATGAACAATCTCAATCTCTTCACCATCCATCCTGATGCTACTGATTGGTCCAGTGGTGAGAATCCTTGTCTTCTTGACATTGAGCCTCAGTCCATATTGAAGGCTGCAGTCCTTGACCCTCTGCAGTAAGTGCATGAGGTCCTCCTCAGTTTCAGCAAGCAGGGTTGTGTCATCTGCATAACGCAGATTGTTGATAGATCTTCCATCAATCCTAAGGCCACGCTTCTCCTCATAGAGCCCAGCCTCTCGGATAATCTGCTCTGCATACAGGTTGAAAAGGTATGGAGATAGGACACATCCCTGGTGTACACCCTTCCCAATTTTGAACCATGCAGTGTTGCCCTGCTCTGTTCTGGCGACTGCCTCTTGATCCAAGTATAGGTTTCGCATTAGCACGATTAAATGTTCTGGGATTCCCATTCTTCTCAGAGTCAGTCACAGTTTGTTATGATCCACACAATCAAATGCCTTTGCATAATCAATGAAACACAGATAGACATTCTTCTGGTATTCTCTGCTTTCAGCTAAGATCCATCTAACATCAGCTATAATATCCCTAGTACCACGACCCCTTCTAAACCCATCCTGGACTTCTGGCAGTTCTCTGCTGATGTTGCTAGGTGTCATTAAGTCAAGAATGGATCATAGCAACCCAATGAACACTGTCTGAACACTGTCCTATCCTATGCCATCATCCTCACAATCTCTGACACTCTTAAGCCCGTTGCCACCATCACCATGTTAACCCACCTGGTTGAGAGTCTTCCTCTTTTTTCCACTACCTCTCTACTTTTCCAAGCATGATTTCCCTCTCCAATCTATTCCAGACTGAAATATAAACAAAAAACCAATTATTTATTATATGTACCTTTCTAGTGAGCATAATGGCCTCTTTCTCCAAGTTGAAATTGTCTCAGTCATCTGCTTGGTAAGTGGCATTAGGATAAAAAAGTGGAATATAATAAGAAGAATAGCAAGTGTAATATAAAGCCCTGTTTTAAGAACTTTTTAATCATTAACTTCTTACAACAGTCTTACAAGGTGGTGATTTACTGTTATTATCATTATCTCCATTTTACATATTAGGAAATAGTATGGCTCCAAAATCTGAGTCCTTCACTACAGTGCTATGACTTAAAAGACATTGCATCTATATTCCAAGAGATTCCTTAAAATACCTCATCCCCACATCAATGGCTCACCTTGCTAGTGATCAGATAGTTTACACACTTTGAGACCCGTGCTTCCTTGAAAAATATTGGATGTCATTAATCAACTGGGTACAATCTGCAAATGTTAATGATGCTTTGTTTATGTCAGGTTGTCAGGTCCTTTGTTGAACCTTCAGGAAATAGCAATATGTCAGACACAGAATCTGCCTTGGTTCCCCATCCAGAGTGAGTGTTTGAGGATTTCTTTTCTGTGACACTATTAGGCCTCATACTAGATAGTCTCACCTATTATCTCACTTGAATCATTTAGTCCATGAAAATTGCATGTTCATGAGATGATGAGAGAGAGGAAAGTGGAAGGACTGCAGAACTTAGAAATTCAGCTTTAGTAGTAGCCTTCTCTTCCCTTGTGGTTCACTCAGTGGTCTTCCCCCACCCCGTTACCTTATGGAAAGCCCTCTTTACATCTTTGTTTCTGAGGCTGTAAATGATGGGGTTGAGGAAGGCAGAAATAACATTGTAGAAGAGGGCTAGTTTCTTGTCCCTCTCTGGGGAAGCATTGGCACCAGGGTTCATGTACATAAACATGGCAGGTCCACAAAACATGGTGACCACAGTGATATGAGATGCACAGGTCGAAAAGGCCTTGAGTTTACCTTGAGTTGAGCTGATTTTCAAAATGGTGGCAAAGATGCGGATATAAGAGGCCAGAATGAAGGAAAGAGGTATCAGGAGAAGGATGAAGCCAAGAATAAAATCTACCCTGTCATTGAGGGAAGTATCTGCACAAGCCAGCTTCAGGACAGCAGGGACCTCACAGAAGAAGTGGTTGATTTCATTTGGACCACAATAAGGCAGACGCATAGTGAAGACAGTATAGACGAGGGAACAGCTAACACCCCACAGACCACAAAAGACCACCATTGCCCCACATAACCATGGGCTCATGATAAGCTTGTACCTGAGTGGGTAACAGATAGCCACATATCTATCATAAGACATGACAGAGAAAAGCCAGCCCTCAGTAATGCCCAGCACCAAGAATATATACATCTGGGCCACACATCCAACATAGGAGATAGTTTTCTTCTCACAGACAAGATGCACCAACATCTGGGGCACAGTGGTGGTGACGTAGCTCATATCCAGCATGGAAAGGACACTGAGGAAGAAGTACATAGGGGTATGGAGGCGGGAATCCAGATGAATCAATGTGACAATGAGTCCATTGCCAAAAAGTGTAGAGATATAGAGGAAAAGGAATACATTGAAGAGAATCACATTAATTTGGGAGTTTCTGGAAAATCCCAGAAGAATGAACTCGGACACAGAGCTGTGGTTCACCCAGGGAATGTACTGCATTCTCCTCCTGCTGCAGAAAAAAGAGCAATAAGCCTAGTGGCCCTTGTCAGAGTGTATTCTCAGGCATCACAGTCATTCTGTTCCTGGAAAGACCACCTGTTACTTGGATGTTAATTAGGATTAATGCGAGAGATTTACCTGGGCTGAGGTTAAACTCAGAAACAGAATTTTCTGAATGGAAACATGAAATTTTCTACTTCTTAGACTTATTTTTTTTCCCCTCCAGGTCTTCAGATTTATTTGCTTCTTTATGTTATCTTCAGTAAGGTTGCACTGCTTTCCTTTTCTTCAGTAGTTACTATTCGTGTATTGCTTGACATTCTTCTGCTATATCATGTCCACGGAGCAGGATGATGAAGATTTGAATGTCTTGTCTTTTTCCTCAGAACTGTAACTCAAAATTGTGTTTCTTTTGTTGTTTTAGACTTCCAGTAACTGTAGAAAAACAGAAAAAGATTATAAGAAATTGAGGAAGTTAACATGGCCTCAGATATATTGGAAGTTACTAGAATATTTTACTCAAGTCTGTTTCTATTTATCATTCAGTGTCTGAAAACTTATGCATGAACTCTTTTATTCTAGATGAAGGAGTTGACTGACCCCATTTCTTGTAGCCTTTACAGATCTTAAACAAAAGTATCTTCTTATTTCACCTTGAAACTACAATTCAATCATAATAACCATGATTCTTTTCTTTTTAAGATAATTTTGGGATTTCTGAATCCCTTTGTCCTGGTGAGAATATTCTCAATGGCAATCTACTCTTTGAAGGCCCCACTCCTCTGGAATTGAAAGTTATAATGGGCAGGAAACCTGGGTTAAGATCTGCACATGGTGCTACTTTATCTTTTGAAAGCTAAAGACAGGTTCTCTTGTTCATACTATGTTAGGAATTGGTGTTGCAATGAAGAAAAGGACTTAATCTAGATTCAAATTTGGTACTCTGAGTAGTTTAATTCCCTTGAGCTTTAATTTCCTACCTGTAAAATGGACATAATTGGAATTTTTATAAGAAATACTACATGATATATCTGAAACATCTAGCAATATGATCCTACAAAGCAGAGTTTTAACTATGCTAGTTCCCACTAAATCCTCTTCCCCAGGGCGCCATTCATTAAATTGCTTGCTGACATTGATTAGCATCTGTTACTTGACAGGTTCTGCACTAGAACTGGAGAGAGGACCATGAAGGTATAGTTTCAATCCTCAAGTAGATTATTTTCTAGTGGGAAATAGAGGAATATCACTAAAAGGTGTATTTCAATATGTATAGTAGAAGTTCTGCTGTCATAACTCTGTGATAAACATGACTGCTACTGTTGTGCGCTATTGAGTCAGAAATGAGTCATAGTTGACTATCCATTGGGTTTTCAGAAGCAGTAAACCACATCTTTCTCTCATAGAGCAACTGGTGGATTCAAAACACGTGCCTTTGAGTTAACAATGGAGCTTCTTACCACCAAGCACTAGGTATATAGAATAAAAAAATTCCCACTCTCAAGAAGTTCACACAGTCAGATAAGAGTTAGCTCCAGTCAAGTAATAAGTGCTGTAGTATAAATAGGCATAGGCTTCCAGGGGAACTCACAGAAAGGACACTTAGGCCAGTCGCTGGGATTTAGCCTTCTACAGTAGGAAGAAATTTGATGTGAATCTTAGAAGATGATCAGAAGTTAGTCAGACAAAGAATTCAAAGAAGGGCATTGGGCATTACAAACAGAGTGAGTAGAGGATTCAAAAGATCGTAAGCCAGGAAGAGTGTCATACAATTAGTCTTTTTGTGACTAATTTTAAGAAAAGATGGGAATCCCAGAACATTTGATTGTGCTTATGCAAAACCTGTACTTGGACCAGGAAGCAGTTCTCAGAACAGAGTAGGGAAATACTGCATGGTTCAAAATTCTTCTGTTTTTCATTCCCAATATAGTATGTTCTTGTTGTTGTTGCTATGTGCCGTCGAGTCGCCTGCGACTCATAGCGACCCTATGTACAACAGCCCTAAACTCCGCTCTGTCCTGTGCCAATCACACTGTCTCCGACACCCCCATCCCAATTATCCCAGTCACTGAATCAATCCACCTCATAGAGGGCCTTCCTCTCCTGCGCCGTCCCTCCACCCTCCCAAGCATGATGTCCCTCTCTAAGGACCGGTCTCTCCTCACAACATGTCCAAAGTATGTTAGACGGAGCCTCAGAATCCTTGCCTCCAAGGAGCTACCCGGTTTGACCCTTTCCAGGACAAATCTGTTTGTTTTCCTAGCCGTCCATGGTATTTTCAATACTCTTCTCCAGCACCACAGCTCAAAGGCATCAATTCTCCCTCTATCCTCCCTGGTCATTGTCCAACTCTCTGATGCATAACATGTGATTGCGAAGACGATGGCCTGTATCAGACGCACCTTAGTCTCCAGAGAGACACCATTGCTCTTCAGTACTTTGGAGAGGTCCCTAACAGCAGACTTTCCCATGGCAATGCACCTTCTAATTTCCTGTCTGCTGGTGCCAAGACTGTTGACTATGGAACCAAGCAAACTAAAGCTGTGTACAATCTCAATCTCTTCACCATCCATCCTGATGCTGCCAATTGGTCCAGTGGTGAGAATCTTTGTCTTCTTGACATTGAGCTTCAATCTATAGTGAAGGCTGCAGTCCTTGACCCTCTGCAGCAAGCATTTCAGGTCCTCCTCCATTTCAGCAAGGAGGGTTGTGTCATCTGCATAACGCAGATTGTTAATAAATCGTCCACCAATCTTGACCCCACATTTCTCCTCATAGAGCCCAGCCTCCCGGATTATCTGTTCTGCATATAGGTTGAAAAGATATGGAGATAGGATGCATCCCTGGCATACGCCCTTCCCAATTTTGAACCATGCAGTGTTCCCTTGCTCTGTTCTGACGATTGTCTCCTGGTCCAAGTATATGATTATCTGATTTAAAGTGAAGATTTTCATAATGCCTAAATATTGTTGTTGTTGTTGTTAGATGCTGTCGAGTGGAGTATGACCCACAGGGACCCTATGAATAACAGATCTGAACCCTGTTCTATCCTGTGCCATCCTCACACTTCCTGACACACAAGAACCCATGGCAGCAGTCACCTTGTCAGTCCACCTGATTGAGGGTTTTCCTTTTCTTTGCTGACCTACTGGCTTTCTGATCATCTTATCCCTCTCCAAGGAATAGCTTCTCTTAGCAATATGCCCAAAGTATGTGAGACAAAGCTTTATCATCTTTGCCTCCAAAGTGCACTCTGGCTGCACGTCCTCGAAGACATATAAATATTATTAAAAATTAGAAAATATGCATTCAGAAAGTGGAGTGAACTTGCAACAGGAAAGGCATCAAAAGAAAAATAACACAATGAGAGGGTAGGAGCAGAGGGCTGAGGATGGGCAGGAGAGTAATTATAGGGTCACACAATTTGATGGGTAGATGGAGGGATGAGTAAAGAAAAGACAAAAGATTTAGTGTGAAAACAAATGAATACAAGCTTTGTAAGCAAACCAGTATAAAATAAAAATTTTATTAAAAAAGAAAGAAAAACACCAAGACATACCATAATCAAAGTTTCCAAAATTAAAATTAAAGAAAGAATGCTTGAAGCAGCTTGGGCAAAATGAGGAGTGAGAACCAAAGGAGAACCAGTACAAATACAATATAAAGGAGAACCAATAATACCAAGCACTGATTTCTCAGCAAAAATTATACAAGAAAGAAGGGAATGTGATGACATATATCAAACTCCGAAAGAAAAGAATTCTCAACCCAAGAATTCTATACCCAGAAAAACTGTCTTCAAAATATAAAGGTGAGATTAAGATCTTTTCAGACAAACAAAAATTAAGACAATTTGTGAAAATTATACCAACCTTACAGGAAATGCTAAAGGGATTTTTTAAAAATTAAGAACCAACTATAACAACAACCCACAATTAACATAAAATGACATTATTCATGTTGTTGTTGTTGTTGTTGTTATGTGTCATCGAGTCACTTGTGACTCATAGTGACCCTTTCTACAACAGCCCAAAATCTGGCTCTATCTTGTGCCAATATCACTGTCTCGAACACACCCACCCCCATAGCCCCAGTCACTGAATCAATCCACCTCATAGAGGGTCTTCCTCTCTTGTGCTGTCCCTCCACCCTCCCAAGCATGACATTCTTCTCCAAGGACTGGTCCCTCCTTGCAACATGTCCAGAGTATATCAGATGAAGCTTCAGAATCCTTGCCTCCAAGGAGCAGCCTGGTTTAACCCTCCAGGATGAACCTGTTCATTTTCTTCGCAGTCCATGGTACCCTCAATACTCTTCTCCAACACCACAGCTCAAAGGCATCAATTCTCCTTCTATCCTCCCTATTCATTGTCCAGCTTTCTGATGCATAGTAAGTGATTGCAAAGATCATGGTTTGTATCAGTTGCACCTTAGCTGACATAAAAATCTACAAAGTAAAATAAACTTAGGAGACTAAAAATAGTGAACTATGGGTAGCAGTATGTAAATGAGAATAACTACAGTATAAAAAGAAGCAGCAACACTGAAGTTACTAAAGAACTTACAAATGGAGAAAAAGTCAAGGCAATTTCAAAATCAGCTAAACTATTTTAGACTTGGGAGTAAAACAGTAACTTGGAGCAGTACATCTTCCTTGGAGTATGTGGACCTTGGCCGTCTCAGGTTGGAAGTGAGTGTCTCTACATAGTTGCAATGTGCACCGTCTCTGTCTGAATGTCCTGTTTCAACCAACTCTGAGTGGCAAAGACACCATCCCTGGCTAGATACGAACTTCTGAGAACAGAGATATCTTTCCTCCACCCTCACCCCATAGTTATGGCAAGGGCAAACCTCAAAAAACTTAATAAACATGGTGTTGTTTTTGTTGTGTACCATCAAGTTGGAACCAACCCATAGCCCCTCTGATGGGTTTCAGAGGCAATTAATTGCATGGGAGGAGACTACCCATTCTTCCACAGAGCAACTGGTGACCTTGAACT